TCGTCGGCGGAGAGCGCCACGATTGGCCGAGCCCTGCGGGCGGGAGGCGGGGCGCGAAAAAGGAGGGGGCGCGCCGCGGGGTTGAGGGGCCCCGAGCTGAGGGGCGGCTGAGGGCGGGCAGGGGGTGCGCTGGGGGTGCTGGTTGTGAGGCGGGGCTGCGGCAGGGCTGGGCTGTGGGGCTGTGGGGCTGTGGGGCTGTGGGGCTGTGGGGCTGTGGGGCTGAAGAGCTGAGGAGCTGAGGAGCTGAAGAGCTGAAGAGCTGAGGAGCAGGGCTGGGTGCTGTGTGCCGAGCCCCCACGGGGGCTCTGCGACAGGGCAGCCACCGACGCGGTGTTCCCGAAGGCAGCCCTGCTCCTGAAGGGCTCCAGAGTGGCTCAGCACGAGCAGATGGCTCGCACAGCTCACACGGCTCACAAAGCCTGGCATTCCTGGTACTGCCGGCCGTGCAGCTATCGCTGTTGGCTGGGTGTTGTCTCCCAGCACGTAACACCTTGCTGCTCAGGGCTGGGTCCGAATCCTTTTGCTCGAGAGCGAAAGAAGAAGAATGAGGGATTTGAATGCTGTGTTTGCTGTTGAGAATTGTATTTAAAAACAACCACTTAAAAACCAAACACGCCGCTGAGGAAATCAAATTGCTTAGCTTGTGACTTTCAGTGGAGTGTTATGGAGGCATGTGTTAATAGGGCAAATGGTTCACTTAACCCTGAGCACTGAAATATAATTCATCCCCTGTGAGATTTTTCACCATTCCCGTTTCTCCCTATCAGAAGAACACGTCTCTGTTTGCAGATGGATGGATGCGTACCTGATCTTTGTAGAGCACCTTTCATGCGAAGTGAACCTGATAAATTCAACTGAAAAAAAAGACTGAAAGCGTGGCCACAGTCACGGTGTTTTCACATACCTTTGAACTGTCAACAGGCTCCATTTCTGATTTCCGTCATCCCTTTACATTTATTATCACTGCTCTCAATTGCAAACTTTTCCCAAACCCTGAAGAAGTCACCTGCATTGAAGTCTTCTTTCCCATGCTGGCATGTCCTTTCCACGAGGAGAGTCTGAAGGAACTGGGGCTGTTTAGTCTGGGGAAAAGAATGTAGAGGGGAGACCTTATGGCTCTCCACCAATATCTGAAAGGTGCTTCCAGCAAGAGCGGGGTTGGTCTCTTCTCACTGGGGACAGGTGACAGGACGAGGGGAAATGGCCTCAAGTTGCACCAGGGTAAGTTTAGGTTGGGTTTCAGGAAAAACTTCTTTACAGAAAGGGTTGTTAAGCACTGGAATAGGCAGCCCAGGGAGGTGGTTGAGTCACATCCCTGGATGTGTCTAAAATCCATGTGGATGTGTTGCTCAGGGACGTGATTTAGCGGAGGGTTGTTGGAGTTCAGGTAGTATGGTTGGGTTGTGGTTGGACTCGATGGTCTTTAAGGTCTTTTCCAACCTGAGCGATTCTATGATTCTACGATGAAGCACAAGCAGCATGTAGCTATTTTCTCTATAATATCACAAGCACGTACAGCCCTTTTAATGAACAAGCGTAGTTCATTTGCTGAATAATGCAAATCTTCGTGCGTTTTGCTGTTTTCCAGTTACTTCAACCTCTTCGGAAGTGGCGCTGGTTCGGTTCGCCGGAGTTCGGTGCCCCCTGGTGGCCGCTCTGCTGGGGATGCCCGCCGTCCCCGCTGCTCAGGAGCTGCCGAGCCCGGCCTGCCTCCCAGGCGGCTGCAGGAGAAGCTGCGGGTGCTTCACAGCTCGTGGGAGGTGCTGCCTAAAGATGCTTTTGAATTCGGTTTTATTTTTATTCCTTTTTATTCGCTGTTCTCTGCAGGGAAGTTGGACGAGATGACCTTTAATGCTGCCTTCCAACTCAAACAATTCTGTGATGAATCTGTGATTTGAGTTTTGGGTTGCGTGAGGAGTTGTGGCTGAATATTTGATGTCTTTTCGTCAGCACAGCGCTTCATTAAACAGGAAAAAAGAGCCTCCCGAATGAGTAGTTATGCTGATCATCTCCTCTGTGCTGTGCCATGAAAGGTAGGGAAATAGGTAGCTTATTCATATCAAAGCACATGGCTCTGTTGTTCACTCAGAGTGCTGCTAGCAATTATCTGTGTGCCTCAGTGTGCAGAAAGCAAACTGAAGCAGCCCTCATGCATACCCCTTAACTCTTGTAGAGTTCAAGACAGGGTGGCCTTATCCAAACAGTCGGCTCATCTCAACTTCAAAGCTGGGCTCAGGAAATGTTCTGAAAAGGTCTGACTAACCCAAGTCATACCCACAGCAGGGGTTCTTCTAATTGCAGACACAGTTCCAGTACTCAGTTACTGGAACTTACTTTATTCACTAGTAAAGTCTTCCATACTGAAGCCAATGGGCCCTAATTAAGACTTAAATGCCTAATACCTGTTACTTATTAATGGCCTGGGTTTCACAATTAGTGTAAATTTGCTACCGTTCCACTGCAGTGGATTCTGCCCATAAATGTCAGAAAGCCTCACCATCAATTTCCTCAGTTTGATTTTGCACTGAAGTTGCAGGAAGCACTGTGTAGTACGTGCACTGAGCTAAGTGGGAGCAAGGAGGCCTTAATTTATATTTTTTTCAGTTATATATGCTTCTCTTCTCTGGAGAATCCTCTTTTCAGCTCACACATAAAAGCCTGAAAAGAGTCAGTTCTGAGAACGGTGGAGATCAGAAGCAGAACTGTACATAGGAATCCTTCCCTTTCCCCTACTTAGATCAGGGAAAAGGGGAATCTGAACAGCTTTACAGTGCTGTGAGTGCAACAGAACTGCAGCAATCCTGGGACTGAACACAGAGGATAATAACCTGCTCAAGTACTTAGGCTTCTTTCTCTGGGTGTGTACAGAAAGCAGAGATGGAAAACCTGGGAAGAAAAATATGAGAATAGGCTCTGGGCTTTCTTCTCACCTAAGAGATTTCTTTACAGGACCAATTCTGCACTCAAGCATAGCTATGGTCTGGAAGGCTCCAAGAAGTGTAACCACTCTCTGTTGTAATTTTTACATTTCCTGATCAAATTTGCATGATATGCTCAGCTATACTTCTTAAAGCAAACTGAAACTTCCCTTCCAGTAATCCCCTATAGCACAGTCTCTAAGCAAAGAATTTATTAGTTCTGCTGCACCACATACATCTGTATGACTGACGAAGAAAGCATGAGCAAGAGAAAAAAGACACCACATCTTTGCTTTTATTACTTGTGCAGCGGTTTTGAGATTAAAACTCAGCCTTTTGGATTTTTACTTGATCTAAACCAATTGGCATTTTTTTATTGTTGAGAAGACAATTTCAGTTTGTTACTGGAGATTGTTTCCAGATTATATGCCTCCTCCCTGTTCTTTCTGCTAAACAGATTTTCTAAATGGCATGTCTGTAACTCAGATAATTTATGGTCATGTATAAATCTACACCAAAAGCATGAAAGCTCAGTGGGGAAGGTGATCTTTCTCCTTTTTGTCAATAAGTAGGCAAGTAAGTACATTGCCTGCTGTGGCGCAGCATGCTGAGGGAGCCGTGTGTGCCAGTAATGGCATACTGACTCGTCCTGTAACGCTGGCAACAAGCATCCTGCAGTCCTCATGCAAAGCTTCTTAGTGAAGGGAGGGAAGTAAGAGCTTGTTAAATGTGAGCAGCTCTCAGTCTAGCACCTGACTTGTTGCAAGTCAAAGCGAGTTCAGTGCTTTCTAATGTCGCTGCTGAAAACCTGGATTTAACTCTCAGATTCCTTTGTAATCAGTGCAGTCAGGAGGCCAGGCTGATCTACCTAGAAACTGGAATGCCAAGGCACAAAAAGAGAAGGTGAAGACCTGTGCATTTTTGCTTAGGGTAAAATGGAAACACAAGTGAAAGCACATCATCCCAAACAGGAAATGCCTTTATTATCCAAAAGAACTCTGCAGGACCCACTGGCATTGCTCTTCTAGGATGTAAGTAAAGATGCCAGAACTGAATGATTTCCATTTTGTCAAGTTTCTCTGACAAGATTATCAGACTTTTACTTAATGGGACACAGGAAATATTGTCCTATTAGACCACCATAGAAAACTGATTGCCTTCTGGTCTCCGTTCTCTCCAACGATAATAATAAAAAAAATCACCCTCAGTTAAGAACTTGTCTGTTGCTCTAAGATATGAATGTGCTGACTACGTAACTGGGCATCAGTAGTTGAGTATCTGCATCGCCAGTAATGCCTCTGCAAACAGTTCTCTGTGCAGAGAGACCAAATTAATCCATCTCCGGTTCCCTTTGTTCTCAGTTTTCAGTGGATGCAAACACCTTGCAGTCTTTGTCTACCAGGGAAACTGAGAGAATATAGGAGAAATGACTTGTCCAGTGCTCACAAGGTGTCAGGGAGCTCAGTTTCCTCTCTAGGGTCCAAGATAGTATCCGTAACGCTAGACAGTTCTTTCTCTTTAGACAATCCAGATGATATATCTCATTTTGCTGCTTTGGGGATGAGAAAACACTGGAAATGGCTGCCCAAGGGAGACTGTAGTCTCTCCTTCCTTGTCAGTATTCAAAACTCAACCCTGGTGGAGCACAATGATGGACCAGATCATCTCCAGAAATCCCACCTCATCCCTTTTTTGGTTCTGCGGTTCATTACTGTGGCATGCCTCAGCAGATCTGAAAATCTGAGGGTCCTGAGGGTCTGGCTGGCAGGACTCCTGGTCTCCTTCTCTTTTACTCTCTAGTACCATCAGCCCCAGCCCTTCAAAGCAGTTTGGCAAACTTAATACTGAAATGCTCACTCAGGATGAGTCTTTTGCAACGAGAATGAGGAAACTGCTAAAGCAAACATGCTATGGTGTGTCCGTGAATTGTGTAACTTCCACTTTGTTACCAGTAAAGTGAGATTCTTTAAAAAACAGTGTCATCGGGTTCTCTTTGCTGATTGGTTGGCCATATTAAGAAACATCAACCCATCCCTTTAAATGCAGTGTTCACTGCGACGGTATTTGAAGAGTGGCAGTGAGTTCTCTGTAGGGCAGAAACAGTGACCTAAGGAAGGTGAGCAGCAACAATATTTGAAGAAACCAGTCTCATCTGGAATATCAAGACAGAAGATTGATGCTGGAAATTACTATCCTGTAAGTCTGAAACTTCTATCTCATGTAAAATGTCCATGAATATATTAAGAGAGAGAACACTTCTTAACTCCCATATGACAGCTAATCTATGAGCAAAAGCAGCATGGACTTATGCAGGGTAGCTGTCACCATTGGTAGTAACCCACTCGCAGACCATGGCAGGAAAAATGTAGACAGCTTGCATAGATGTTCAGTGCAGTGTTCTGTGCTCCATTTCACTCACAAAATTAAAGCATTCAGTGTAGAAAATGAAATCTGTTATGGACTGAATATTGACCATAAATAATGCTTGAGATGATAGAACAGAAATATAGGACACTGCAGGAATCTTGTGATGCCCAAACTTGGTTTACACATTCATTTTTGGATGTATAATAAAAATTGAAAGCAAAGTGCTCCTAGTGTCAGAAGATTCTAATGCTAGAAAAATGAAAAAGGCAAAAATCAGGAAACAAGGGTAAGGCAGAAGCATAGAAAGAAAAAAAGAAGGGGAAGAATTCCAAACGAATGGGATTCCCTCTCCTCTTCTACCATCCACAAAAGAAGAATAACTCGTTTTGTACTTCATCTTTGTTTTGCAGGAATGGCTGCTGCTAGGAGGAAGCTTACAGTAGTTGGAGATGACTGCTCTGGTAAGACGTGCCTCCTCTTCGCTCTGCGTCGCAATCAGCTCCCCACATTCTACGAGCCAACCCTGTTTGACACGTATGCCACTGACATAGAGGAAGATGGGAAGGAGATGAAGCTGTTTCTGTTTGACGTGTCAGGAAAAGATGAAGCCAGTTACCGAAATCTCCGCTCGGTGTTCTATGAGGACACCAACATTATTTTAATATGTTTCTCAGTGGACAGGCCTGACTCACAGCAAAACGTCCTTGACTTTTGGGTTCCAGAAATCAAACTGTTCTGCCCCACGGTTCCTATTATTTTAGTGGCTACCAAGATTGAACTGAGGGATGATGAAGCTATCAGGAAGAAATTAGCTGCTCAGGGCTATGAGCCAATTAACACTGTAGAAGGAAAAGCTTTAGCAGCCAGGATTGGGGCATATGCTTACCTGGAGTGTTCTGCCAGGACAAAAGAAGGTGTTGATGCCGCCCTGGAGATAATTAGCCAATGTGCATTAAATGAGAAAAAGAGGAGAAAGAAGCGCCAAAGGTCCTGCCAAATTTTGTAAGAGGCACAAATATTATTTTGTTTTTAGTTTTCATTATGTGGAAGAGTGAGTAGATGTCTTTGATGCTGCTGTGTGGGTGCTGTAAGGGCTTTTGTGGTACAAGATGGAAAAAACATTTATGTGGATGGAAAGTCTGCCAAGTCTCTCACTTGAAAAGTTGGATTTGTTTCCTTCTCCAAAGCAGGCTGAAGAACACAACTCCAGGTTCGAGCTGAGCACAAGTCTTGAGAAATGGAAATGAACAAGCTACAGTTCTTCACAGAGTTGTCTTGGTCAAGGGACATATATGCAGACTGGTGCAATCATGAGTGCATGGAGGTCAGTGAATCTAATCATGACTTCCTGGTAATCATGACTTCCTTTGGTGGCAAGCAGCTGTGCTGAAAAGGTTTACTCGTATGCACTCCCTTCTGTGCATTCCCCTCCATACGCTTCTTTGAAGGACGCCCTTAGGGAATAGAATCACTGCCCAGACGCTCACATACACATGTATCCAGTGTCTGCCCTGCTAATGGGAGTGGCTTTCTGACTGGCAGAGCAGGTCTAACTCTTCGCAGGATTCATTCACAGATCTGACCTGGCTTGGTTCCTTGAATGCATTAGGGATGCAATGGATTGTCTAGGGTGCAAGGAAAGCAGTGCTACGTACTTCTTCAGGCACAGGTAAATAAGTTTACTCAAGGAAGTGGGGTAAAGCAGCCTGGCTCTGAGTTAAGATCCTTAACAGAATTCTTACCTTAAAATGAGAGAGGCAGAGAGACCTGACTTCAGTGTCTAAAATTCTTTAGAAATCTCCGTGGTTTGAGCGTATCTTAAGTCTTCCTACCTTTCCTTAGCACTTGCAGGCTGAAGACATGAAGTAAAAGGAATGCTGACAGCTACGCTCTCTGCTTTGCAAGTCATTGACAATTTGGAAAGAGACTAAAACATGCTGTCAACCTCAGCAGAGAATCTCAGGGAAGCACAGAGACGAGGCAAAAAGGAACGACTTCGGGTGCACCTCCATACTCTTCCCTTCTCTGAAGCAGTCTGCTGCCAGCCCAAGAAACTGATTTACGGACTGACATTAAAGGTGCAAGTGTGGGAGACAGAAGATAATGTAACTATGGGATTTGGAGACAGATGCTATAACAGGAAATGAACATAAAAATTTCAAAGGTAAACTCTGATAAAGGGACAGGACTAATTGAGCATAACTGTTGTGAACTGGGAGAATGTGGAAGTGCAGTACTTTCTTTTGCTGACTTACCTAGTGGTGGTTTCATCACTCAGCAGCTTGTCTAAAGTTTCCCAGGGGAAAACAAGACTAAACACAAAATGTTACACTGATTGTGCAACCTGCAGCTGTACCCTTAGCAAACTAGTTTTCCCAGACCTGGTAAAATACACACTTCATATTTTAATTGCCCATTCTTCCCACCAACATTTGTCTATTGATGGTAACGTGGATAGAAATGCCAGACTTGGCCAGGTATTATTGAGTGGGTTGCTGCTACTTCTTAGTAGTGGGTTTGAGTAACAAATGCTTTAAGGGTGATGCTTTACATTTCCAAAGAATCTCTGAGCTCTATTCAACTTGAATTACGAATCCATCTCTTGGTGATAAAAAAGTGTTATTTCCATTTTCAAAACTGAGAAACTTAAATTGTTGCCTAAAGTAAGTGTGAACCATCTACTACATGGAGTTCCTGTTTTTCTTGACTCATTTTCTTCACCTTTTCCCTTTTCCCTCCAGAGACAATTTTTCACCTCGATTTCTTCCCCTCTGTGTAATAATCCCCTCTATGCAACTTGATATTGTACATAAATTTAAAACTGTTTTCCCCTTCCTCCTTGGATGTGTGTTCTGTGCATAAGTGCTCTACAGATTCAGGCAATGACATACATTAGTGCATTTCAAAGAGCTGTGTTTATGTAGATAGGTTTAAATTGTTATTTCCATTTTATATGTGTGGGTGAGGAGGATTAGACTGCAGATAGGTGAAAGAACACAGGTGTTTCATATGCTTCTGATGTAGGGTATGGAGAAAGACCACTTTGCAAAGATGCTAAGCACTGAGCGCTCCCACTGCTTGGAAAGCACAACCACTTTGGTGAATCTGAAGTTGCACTGCCTGCTGCTTAGTAGGATATGGGTCAGCGTATTGACTGGAATCTGTTTTCAATCCAAGAAAACAAGGAGTTTTTTCTTGCAGAGGGTGCTTTGCTCAAGAAAAGAGTAGCTGATCAATGGCTGTATGTCCAAGTGGAGGTGAGTCACAAGTGGTGTCCCTCTGGGGTCCATCTTGGATGGTGCCCTTCAGCACCTTTATCAGACCAAGGCAGTGGGATCAAGACTGTCCTCCTTATGTTTGATGAAGACAACCAAGCAGAGTGGTACAGCTGATAAAACAGCAGGAAGGGATGGCATCCAGAGGGACCTGGACGGGTTTGAAAAGTGGGCCTGTGTGAACATAATGAGGTCGGAGCAATCCCAGGTCTGAGTACAGACTGAGAGAAGAACTCATTGAGAGCAGTGCTGAGGAGGAGGACGGGGGGGTTCTGGTGGATGAAGAGCTGGACACACACCAGCAGTGTGCTTCTGCAGCCCAGAAGGCCAGCAGTGTCCTGGGCTGCAACAAAAGAGGGGCAGCCAGCAGGGAGAGAGACAGGAGCATTTCCCTCTGCTCTGCCCTTGTGAGACCCTGTCTGGAGTGCTGTGTCCAGGCCTGGGGCCCCCAGCACAAGGAAGGCATAGAGCTGTTGGAGCAGGTCCAGAGGAGGGCCATGACGGTGGTTGGAGGGCTGCAGTACTTCTTCTGTGAAGAAAGGTTGAGGGAGATGGGCTTGTTCAGCTTGAAGAAGAGAAGGCTTTGGGGAGATCTCATGGCAGCCTTCCAGTACTTACAGGGAGCTTGTAACTGGAGGGAATGACTTTTTACGCTGCCAGATAGTTATAGGACAAGGGGGAATACTTTAACTAAAAGTGGAGAGATTTAGGTTAGAACATTAAGAAGAAATTCTTCGCTCAGAGGGTGATGAGGCACTGCCACTGCTGCCCGGAGGAGCTGTGGGTGCTCCATCCCTGGAGGTGTTCAAGGCCAGGGTGGGCCCTGGGCAGCCTGAGCTGGTGGGTGGCAATCTTGCCTGTAGCAGGGGGTTGGAACTGGATGATCTTTAAGATCCCCTCCAACACAAGCCATTTAATGATTCTATGAAATTAACTGAATGTCCATATATCATTCAACAGGGTTATTTCAAAGATGAAATACTTTCTTCCCCACAACAGGTTAAGACATATGTCCAATTAAAACAGCAGGATACATTTAAACTGTAATATGTGAGTAGGATGCTATGCCCTGCAATTAAATGGGAGCTTATTTGCGATGTCAGTGAAACAATTACACAAATAAATGATAAGTCTTTCAAAAGAAAGAAGAAGAAGGAAGAAGAGAAGGAAAGCACGAAACGAAGTAAAATGACATAGTACTAATAAGGCAATACGTGAGAGCAGTTTTCCATTTCCAGTGCAAAGATAGCTTTTCTTTCACCTGCAGAGTGACATATTGAAAATAGACATGCACAGTGCACAGTGCAGGGCCTTGGGAAGAAGTCTGAAATAAAGAGAAGCCTTTATGTTATCTCCTGTTGGTAGGCTGCTCATTGCTTGTTTCTGGAATGGACTGGAAGGAAGGCAATACGTCTTGCTTAGCAAGACCATTCTCTATTTAATATTAATTTCCTGTATAAATATTAGGCCTTTCTAGTAGCCAATCTATCAGTTACCTGCTAATTCATCTATTTACTCAAAATTATAATGAACTGGGAAGCGTGCTATATTTTATGAAAACAGATTCTCGTAGGCTTTTGTCTCAGTTTTCTTCATAATAATGTTTTGCCACTTAATTGAATTCATTGCCTGAGACATACAGCATCTATTTTAAATAATTCATCAGCTTAGACTGTTTCTACTCAGTCACTCCCAGAATGACAGACTGAGACAAGAGCTGTACTTCATCATTGTGTTTTGATGGAAATAAGGCGCTGGATTGTGGCATTCCCTCCAAGCAGCGTAGAGGAGCACATAAAAAGACAGAAGGACTGGTACTTCATTTGCCAAAACTAAATTGTAGGAATCATTAAGGCCTTAAATCCTCCTCGTTCAGCTTCATTGCTGCTCGTGGACACGTGCCTCACTGAAACTCCTTCTGTGCTGCTGATGTGGCAGTCAGCTGACATTGCAGTCTCACACCAAGGGTTCACACCAGTGAACCCCTTTTCAGTCCCACTGTTTTCAGCCTCTCGCTGCCCTTTGTGCAGTGTAGCTGATTGATCCAATACTTCACAGAGGGGAGGGATGGAGGCCGGACTTGGTGGCCAAGAGGTATTCAAGACCTTACTCTTCTGCAGAGCTTGAACCCCGTGCTCAGTTCCCAAACAGATGCTGTCTGCCAGCTGCCTCCTGTGTCAGTGAGACCCCATTTGGGGTAACTGTCTGCACACCCCTGGGGCTGTGCCTGTTAGGACACAGACTGGTAGATTCACATCCGATCTGTGAATCACCACTGACTGGTTTCTGAGTAGTTCAGTGCAACTGGGAGCAACTCTGTTAGCTCAGGTGTGTCTGAGCCTGGCTGTCACAAGGTGGATGTGCCTCAGCACTAAGGGGGAGTTAGCTGCCAGTCATCATCCAGATTCAAAAGAGAGTTTGCAAGCCTGAAGGCATTAAAAAGAACAATCTTCTCTCTTCAAATCCTTTCTGTCAGGCATCCGGGGCCCGCTGAAGAGTCTGTTCTTTCTTACAGCCTCCCTTTACATACTGAAAGACCACTATCAGGTCTCCCCAGAGCCTTCTCCTCTCCAGGCTGAGCAGCCCCAGCTCTCTCAGGTTCCTCCCCATGCCATGCCACTGTGCTTGTGGGCTGAGCGATGCTCCCTCACCACCATGGGAAGACACTGCAGGGTTTGCCTGCCACTGCCCAGTCCATCACTGACTTGTGCTTGCCACCACTTACCCCTGGAAGGAAATGAAATGTGGCTGTGTTTAAAGCCTTTGGCAGGAAGAGTCTACATAAACATTTATCAGCAGCCATATGGAGAAGAGCGAGCTAATAAAAATGCATCTTTCGGAAGGCTCTCTGACTACCAGTTTTCTGCAGGAGGGTAAATTTAAATTAATGTTGCACAGAAGCACTCCTCAGCTATTAAAAACGATGATGGGTCCAGGTACATTTCCAGTGACCTGCTGCTAACACGGTATATTCTGCATTGGTACTAAACTGCCAGCATTTGATGGTGCTCTGAAACATGAGAGAGGATGCTCAGATCTTTTTCTTCACCCCTGTTCCACAGGAAAGAGCACTCAGGCTTCTTCCCACACAGCTGAGCTAAGTCCTACAAGAACTGGTCAGCCCCTGCCATGCCACACCAGTGCTCCAGCCTTCACAAGGTTCATGAGCACCCAGCCAAGGCCCAAGCAAAGGGCTCAGCAATGAGTGGCATTCAGCATCTCCAAACCATACTCGTTATTTTCCTCTTCTACAAACCAGACACCTTGCTTGCCATCACCAGATAGACAAGGCTTTATAAGTAGACAGATATTAAAATGAACATCCTTGAAAAAAGAAAATATTGTGGAGTATGATGTTCACTCCTGGGTCCTGCTGCACTTACAGAGACAAGGGCATATGGAGACAGTCTGATGGAGCCATCCAGGTGATCGAGGAAATGAGCACCTCTCCTGTGAGGGGATGCTGGGACAGCTGAGACTGTCAGAGTTCATGCAGTGTTTGGACAGTGCTCTCAGACATCTCAGATTTGGATTTTGGGTGGTCCTGTGCGAAGGCAGGAGTCGGATTTTATGATCCTTCAGGGAGTTTGCAAACGGGAGGAGGATCTGACAGTCTGATAGAGACAGAACAGGGGGGAATGGCTTTAAACCAAAAGAGGGGAGATTTAGGTTAGATGTTAGGAAGAAATATTTGACTCAGAGAGTGGTGAGGCAGTGGAAGAGGATGCCCAGGGGAGGTGTGGATGCCCCATCCCTGGAGGGGCTCAAAGCCAGGTTGGGTGGGCCCTGGGCAGCCTAAGCTGGGTGGCAGCCAGCCCATGGCAGGGGCTGGAGCTTGATGATCTTTAAGGTCCCCTCCAACCCAAGCCATTCTGTTACCCTTATGGGTCCCTTCCAGGTCAGGATGTTCTATGAATCTGTGATTCTGTGATTTGATGGATCAAGAGATGAGGTTACCAGCTCTTTTTGTTAGGTGTTTGCATAGCTCGTAACACGAGGGCTGAACATCCTGAGAAGAGGAGGAGGAGCTGCTGATGGTGGCAAGCTCTCGGTCTAGTACTGCTGGCTGTCCACAGGCCAAATGCTTTAAGACAAAAAGCAAGCAATCACGTCTGGTAAATTCTTCTGATGGGAGATCTTCCCAAATCTGTCAATGAAGGGGTTAACGCACTGCCAGCACCATGGGTGCTTCTCTGAGTGCCCACACACCTGATCTCAAGGCCCCCTGGGCAGTAGAAGAGCTCAGGGTCACTCCCTGCTCACTGTGGCTCACAAGGATCGTTCTGCCCAGAGCAGGACCTGATCCTGGCATTCAGCCTGCCCTGCTAACTAAGCTACAAATTAGCACCGTACATAAATGTTATTTATTTCTAATTAATTATTAAGGCAGTATGTAACAGCACTCGAGAAAGATCATATTGGTATGTATCTGGATGCAACACAACCCTCCCTAAATCATGCTAAAAGCTGATTTCCCTCCTGCTATACAGCAAATTATGTCAGGCTTAGTGCTGGTACATAAGGAGAAAATTTGTTACCCTTCTGGAAAATCAATAGGCTCTTGGCAAACTGGG